ATGTAAAGGTACAATTCCCAATGAGAAATGTAACTGTGTTGTATACCTACAATGTACCAATAAAAGAATTTAATACAAAAAAAAAAAGAAACTGAACGCAGAAGCAGAGAGTAGAACAGTGGTTGCTGGAGGCTGAAGGAGAGGGGGAGGAGAGATACTGGTCAAAAGGTACAAAGTATCAGTTAGGAGGAATAGTTCTGGTGTCCTCTTACACAGCATGATGACTACAGTCAATAATGTATTATAAATTTCAAAACTGATAAAGAGATTTTACATATTACCACCACAAAGAAATGACAAGTATGGATGGTGGTAAGTATGTTAGCCTAATGTGATCATTCCATGATGTATACATATGTTGAAACATCATACTGCACCCTATGAATATACACAATTATTTGTTAGTTTAAAAATCTGCACTTCTAACAAACTCTGAGGTGACAGTGATGCTACTATTCTGGAGGCCACAGTATGAAAATTAAACTGTCTAGATAATCAAGATTTGGTTTTTTTTCCCTCATGAATTGTCAGGAACTCGGTATATAACACCGAATTTGGAAGACCTAACTATCTTGTGCTTAAACTGCTATACTGGTCTTTGAAGTGCCTTGAGATAAAATATTTATGCAGTTCAAAGTAATTCATTGTTGAACTGTGTATCTGTAGCTCAGAATTCTAGATGCCCTTTTTCCTGCTTCACAGAAATACCCAGGTGTGCTCCATGTAGCTCTCACAGAGAGAAAAAATCTATTCAATTCTGGGAGGTAGAGGGGCTGTTTCAGCACAGCCTCTCCCCATGAGAAATGGAGGCTGCTTCAGAGTGTTGTCTACAAAAGAGTCCATTTGCTGGGGCCAGGGATTTAGCTCAGTGGTCCTGCCGCCTGCCTCAGTTTGATCCCCAGTACCAATAATAAGAAAAAAAAAGTCCATTTGCTCCCATTCTCACATCAGCCACTCCCCAGTACGAAAGGATATAAATAACTCCTGATGTGTTCAAATTAAGTATATCTTACCTTTGGTCTTAAAAGTTTTCTAGAGCTGTTCTATGCATGGCTCATAAAATTCTTGAGTAGAGAAGAGGTAAGAGTAGAGTCTTGAGTACAGAAATGATATTTGTAAAGTCTCAAAATGCATATTTTAGCCAGTTTTCCATCTCCTTCCTGTCAAAGCTTTTATTAGAGCATGTAAGTTATTAAGAGTAACAAAATGGTCTCAGTTCTGGTCTTTTTATCTTGGGTCAGAGGTGTCAGTAAACAGCAATGGAATGACCAAAGGATGGTCAAAGGGAACAAACTGAAAATTCTCTATAGAACGGACAAATGACCAAACAAGATAAATTATAACCAGCACTGTATTTAATGGCAAAAATTTACTGAACTGTGGGAGCTGCTAAGAACAGAGATTTTAGTAACACACACGTCCTTGCCTCCATGGGCCTTTGGTCTCTTCCTAGCAGAGAAGGTCGACAGAACAGTAACTGCAGCCATGAAGAACATTATGAAAGAAACTCAGGCTGCAATGAGAAAGACATAACCTACCTTGGAGAAAGCAAAGGAGGCATCAAGAAAGGTTTTCCAATGACACTGGCCTCCATTAAGTTTAAACACAAAGAAAGAAGAGTGAGCTGGGCAGAGGGAGGAGGGAAGAGCGGAAGGAAAGGGCATGGAGGGTTTCCATAGAGCTCAAGCACACCACCCATGAAGAGTGGAAAGGAAGCCGAGAGAGGAGTCAGAAGCCACAGCTGCAGAGCTCTATCTACAACTGTCCAAGGGCAATGGGAAACAGGAGGACAGGATCGTGCCTGCATCCAAGAGGACCACTTTCTGCAGAGTAGATTACAGAACTAAAGGGGTGCGCAGTCGGGAGGCGACTGCTGCAGGGCAAAGTGAACTACAGTACTGGAAGACTGGCATGGGGAGGGACGGGTGGATGGAGAAGACACATCCACAGTGTGCTCGAATGGCGAATCTCGGCTGCAGGGTACTTTTCATGTCAAAAGGCTCCTACTTTCCAGATGTCTGACACACAGGTACTAACTTGGCGGGCAGTAAAGTTTTGTGATTTGTGCAGGATTAAAATCTTCCCCTAAAATGTACCCCTGAAAGTCACAATTAAGATCAAAACATCATCTACCTGAATAAGCCTGTTTTTACATATTACTTATACTCTGCTGTTTATTCTCCAAAATGCTTAGGTCTATTTCGGTTTCTGGCTAAGAAGAGGACCATATGTCCCTATATTGAGCTTTTTCTAAAAAACAAACAAATAACTACAGTATATCATATTTGGTATAACAAGTAGAAAAAAAGTCTATATTGGAACTAGTGAAGAGAATTCAATCTAGAAATAAATCTAAGAAAAGATATGCAAGAACTGTATGGAGAAAAGAATACTAAATAGTATGCTCAAGAACATAATAGCATCGGTCTTCCTCAAATGAAATCAATGAAATTTCAGTAAATACCCAATGGGTTTTTCATAGAATTAAACAATGTAATCCTAAAATGTATAATCCAGAATCACAAAAATATAATGTTGAATGAATATAAGTTGTACAAGGAAAAATTCTAGTATTGTTCCATAATATCTTAAAATATACAAAATATGCATTGTCATGGATTTATACACATATAATAGTAACAATATTCAATTTGGATGGGAATGAGAGATAGCAAATGAAAATTGTGGTTACTGAAGGAAATGGGGTTGAGGCATACAACCAAGGGTTTCAGTTTAAGTATAAATCTTTTATTTCTTAAACCGAGCGGTGAATACAAAGGTGTTTGTAAATCATTCCCTAGTCTTTAAATGCTTTCTGTGTCTTAAATATTTTACAAAACTAAGGAATGCCTTTTATTTAACCACTTAACAGTTTACCCCAAGTGTCACTTAAGCAGCGCGTTTGTTTATGTACTATTCTGAGCGATGCCCAGGCAGGTGTTGAATATTTTAAGACACAGAACACACAGAAAAATCACTGAATAAGTTTGATAAAATTATCATTTTTATATTTCCGGTTATATTACCTTGTAAAAATTTAAAAAATATATACAATTTTTTGTCTTCTTGTATGTAAATAATTGGACTGGTAAGTGGTTAAAAAGCATGTTATTACATGATTTAGCTCAGTAGTTCCCAAATACCAATCTCCAATAGCTACATCACCAACATCAGCGATACCTGAAGAACTTGTTAAAAACACAGATTAGTACACTATCCCAGGATCAGGATTCCTTTGAGGGAAGCCACGTGATCTCAGTGCACATCCATATTTGTAAACTCTCAGTAACCACTAGGCAATTAATTAGTATTAATTCGTATATTAATAGCAATACATTAACAAAACTGGTTCCAAGGTGAAGAGATATTTAAATGTTTCATTATCTAATCACTTTCCAATTGATTTGTCTTGAATGTGGATTCTAACTTAAAGGGAAGAACACTTCTCAAACTAAAAAATATAGTTGTCCATCCACACCCATGAGAGACTGGTTCCAAGCCTCCCTCAGACACTATAATCTGCAGATGCTTAAGTCCCTTATGTAAGTGATGGAGTACTTGCATATCACCTACACAATCCTCCCCTAGAGTTTAAATAATCCCTGAATTATTTATAACACCTAATATAACATAAATGCTAAGTAAACAGTTACACTCTTGTTTAGAAACTAATGAGCAGAAAAATGTTGTCTATACTGTGCATGTACAACCTTTTTCCTTCTGAATATTTTCAGTTCCCAGTTAGTTCCATGAATGGATGCAGAAATCCACACATATGGAGGACCAACAATATAAACTTTTACTATACACCCCCAAAAGGCCATAAGTGTAAAAGCTAGGAATACTTTACAAAATAATTTCATCAAATGGTTTTACAATAGAACATACTTCCTTCACATCCTCCACAAGAAATACACCACAGCAAAATTCCACTAGAGATGAAAAAAAGTGCTGTGCTGTAAAATGGTTTCTTTCCCAGGGTGGCACCTTTAAGAGATAGGGCCTAGCGGGAGGGAAGTCAGGTCACTAGGAGTACTCCCTTGAAGGGCATCATGGGACCCCAGCTCCCTCCTCTTCTCTTTGCTCTGCTGCACACTTTGCTCTGCTACATGCTCCACACCATGATATGCTACCTGGCCACAGGCCCAAAAGCAACGGGGACAACTGGCCATGGATGGACACCTCCAAAGCTGTGAGCCAAAAGAAACCTCTTCTCTTTGTAAGCTGATTCTCACAGATATTTGTTCTAGCAATGGAAAGCTAACGCCCTCTCTCTTACATACACACATACACACACACATGCACCACATGCGCGCGCGCACACACTTTCCCCCAAGTATTTTGGAATTACAACTAAAAAAAAAGAAAGAACTTATTTGGTTTGAGACAACACAGTTCTATTGGCATACAAAGTACATCAACATAGACGGACTCACTCACCAGGGCTTTCTACTCGCTTATAGTGGTAGGGGTTGATGCAGACCTCCTTCTGCTTGGAACCAAAAGGAAATTCGCAGCACTCCAGTGGTTTTAGTTCATGGTGGCTCTGAAGATCAGGCCAGCGCCACACACGGCAGTAAATGACGTGAGGCAGTCCCTTCCGGTGGGACACCTGCAGCCTGCCATCCAGCGAGCGGGGAATGGTGACACAGTTACTTGGTTGCCCTGGGCAGCTCAAAGCCTTTTCAAGTTCCTCCATGGCACCTTTCTTTTTCTTCAGTTTTTTCACCAAAGCATCAACAGCTTTCTCTGCCCATTTTTCTTCTTCATCACCCTGTTTCCACCCAAGAAGTCTCTTCACAGCTGGGCTTGTGAAGGAAAATAAACTTGTCACATTCATAATGGTACTAGTTATAAACTCCTCAGATATGTGAAACAAAGGGTCTTCAAACGAAAAAGGACAGCAGGAGAGGCGACAGTTATTTACATAGGCTTCTCTTTAGCTTCTTAGTCTGGAGTCCTGTAAAGTAGAAATTGTCATTTCTAGTCTTCTGTAAAGTAACCCAGGGTCAGCACCTAGAAAAAAGGAGAGAAAAATGTTTAAAATCACCTCTTCCCACAACCATAATTAATTACTCTGTGCCAGGTAACTAAGTACTTTTGTGTACAGATGGTCCCTAGCTTATGACTATGAATTTTTGACTTTGGAATGGGTTTACAAGGACACAGTCCCATCCTGAGTTGAGGAGCACCTGGCATCTGTAGTGTAGCATGCCACTGTGTTCCCTCCAGATTTATATACTGAAGCCCTACCCCCCAGCGTGACGGTACTGGGACAAATAATCTTTAAGGAAGTAATTCCGGGTGCTAGGTCATGAGAGTGGGGCTGGACTGTAACGGGACTGGTGGTCTTAGAAGAGAACTCTGCCTGAGACGGAGTAGCGCCTATCAGACGAGCCTTTTCCTAAACCAACCAACTGGAAAATAAACGGTCAGTTTTTGAAAGGCATCAAAGAGCAGCTAAGAAAAAAAATTAGAAATGTAAAAAGCCAAGTTCCTAAAGAAAGGATAAGGAAAGAAGTGAGCCGAACATTCTTCACTACTTTTCCCAATGCCTGTCCCATAAGCAGCCAAGGATGTCATAGTCAAGAACAAAGTGGCTAGTAAGAGACTAAAAGCTAACAAATCTAAGCAGAGCTTCCAGTAGTCTCCAGTGCTGAGGACACCAAAACAACATAAACACCCCTCGATTTTTTTTTAAAAATCTAGAGTTGATGGCCTGCCAAGAGAGGAGCCCTGGTGAATATTTAGGATTTTGGTTGAGTCTCTTGAAGGGTATGCCCTAAGACAAGGGCAAAACTGTGATGGACCAGTCGTTACAAACACTGACACTTGGCCTAGAAGCACCTCAGTCCTAGACTGGATCAAAGTGATGGGTATCACCCTCCAGCAGCTTGCCAATAAAACCCTGACAGGGAGAGAGCACCATAGTTAGCTTCTGCAATCCCCCCATACACACACAATATACAGCACTAACCAAAAGCTACCAGGCATACAGAAGAAGGGACCAAATGACCAAAGTAAAAAAGCACGGACACAGACCTAAGAGGTGGTCTAGATACAAATTTTAAAGTATTAACAATTATTGATTAATAAGCCAAGGAAACAGAAGTCAAGACTGAGGATTCCAGGAGAGAACCAGAATACATACAAAAGAATGAACTACAAATTCTTGAACTGAAAAATACAGTAACTAATGAAGACTTTATAAGGTCTAAGCAGTAAGTTAGCTAAAGTAGGAAATAGATTAGTGAACTGAAAGATCAGTAAAAACTGTTCACACTAAAGGAAGATTTTTTTTAAAAGGAATATAAAGAAAACAACTGATTAGATGTAATAGATATGCCAAAAAGGTCTAGTGCCTTGTAACTGAAGTCACAGAGGAAGAAAGAAGACTGTGGCTGAAGCAGTATGTTCAGTCTCTGGCCAAGGGTTTTCAAAATTGCTAAGACACTCTAGTCATGCAATCGTGAATCCCCATAAAGCCCCAAAAAGATACATATTACAACAACAACAAAACTTAGAAGTTTTAATGTGTCTATCACAAATTGCTGAAAAACTAAGACAAAAATCTTTAAAAAAGACACAGGTATGGTGGCCCACACCTGTAATGCTAGCTGAGACTGGGAGGCTGAGACAGGAGGATCATAAGTTCAAGCCCTGCCTCGAAATTTAGTGATGTAGCGAGATCCTGTCTCAAAATAAAAGCTAAAAAAGAAGGATGTATATCAGTGTGAGAGCCATGGTTTCAATCCCTAGTACAGGGTGGGGGACGACACACTTTACCTTCTCTTTAGTAAGGTTGGAAGCTGACATTTCAACAGAAAGAAAGGAAGCAATGAAATAACATCTGTAGCATACCAAGGGTAAATAAATAATTGATAACTTAGAATTCTACCCTGGAAGGGGAGGGAAAAAAATCCCTGCAGAAATCCTTATGAAATAAAGATGTTCTCTAACAAGCAAATTCAGAGAGAACAGGTTTCCAGTAGATTGGCACTAAAAGAAAAATATAAACAGGAACTCTTCAGGCTGCAGGAAAAAGATTTTAGGGACTATAAATCAAACACAAACAAAAAACAAACAAAACAACAGTGCTCCTTAAGAGTAAATAAAGGTTAAGCTTAAAGAATACTAATTATACAAAACTATAATAGAAAATGTTTTATCATGCCTAAAATAGATGGAAAATTAAAATAATGGCTGAAAGTAAAAGAAGCAAAAAAAAACCCATAAGTTAGTGTTCTAAGGTTCCTGTTTCATCCAGGCCATCATAAAGCATTAATTTGTGAATTCATGTAATAATATAGCAACAAGTGAAAGAATAATTTTAAAACTACAGCAAGCTATAGGCCTGGGGATTTAGCTCAGTGGTGCTGCCGCCTGCCTCATAAGCACAAGGTCCTGAGTTCGATCCCTGGTACCAAATAAATAAATAAATAAATAAATAAAATAAAAACTACAGCAAGCTAATAAAGTAAAAATATGGAATTCTTATAACTATGAGTAATCCAAAGACTATAAGGACAATAAAGGAGAAAATAAGAGATAAGACAAATAGGAAATAAAATTTAAATTAATCTCAAAAGTACCAATAATTACTTAAATATAAATAGATTAAAATATGACAGATGATGGAGTTGGGGATGGGAAACACCACCTAATTTATAAAAGACACCAATTAAATAGAGGGAAGCACAATAGGAAAAGATACATGATGTACCCTCTGACCAAAAGGCCAACGTAGCTATCTATTCAAAGTCTTTAAAGGAGGAAACATACCAGAAATTAAGAAATGTTAGAGTAACTGATCTACCCATGTAGACACCATAATCCCACATTTTTATGTGATATTAGTCTCCATATACATAAAACAAAAACTGAAAGAATTAAAATGAAAAACAGGCAAACCCATAAAATCCTTCTGGGAGATATAGTAAATGAAAAAATAAACAAAAATTGATAGCTACAGAAGAGTAACATGTTTAAAAACTCAATCAAACTCATGTACACAAATCACTGGTACCCAATAATGGCAGAATACATAATACTTTCAAATATATATGGAATACTTACCCAAATTGACCATATATAAAGCAAACCTCAACATGTATCAAAGAAATAAAATTATATAGAATAACAAGATCATGTGGTCTTAGTACAACTAAGAAATCAATAAAAATATTGTTATTGTAAATAATCACACTTGTTTAACCCATGAGTCAAAGAAATTACAGTGGGAAAAAAACATTTTTAACTGAATGATTACAAAAATGTGACACCGAAAATTGTACAATGTGGCTTCAACCATAACTAGAGGAAAATTTAGAGCTGACATGCATGCATTAGGAAAAAGCTGAAAATTAACATTCTCGTAGGTGTATATTGCAAGGGGGAAAACCAGTAAATTAAACCCAAAACAAGTACTATAGAAAAGACAGCAGAAACTTTAGAAGTATACTAGAGAAAGTTTTGTATAATCATAGTTCATTCTTTGAAAATATTAGTAAAATCATATAAACCTAAATCCATAGCAAGACTGAACAAAAAAGAAGACACAGCTAACAATAACAAATAAAATGGGAAAAATCATGACTGATCCTCAAATTTTAAAAGATAATGCTTATAAATACGTCACAGTATATTGTGTATGTATGGCTATACTGTGATAATATACACATCTGTCTTCCTCACTAGAGGAAAATGACAGAGGAGCTCTATTTTCCTTTCTCTAGAGCCTAGCTCAATACTAGCATGCACACAGCATATTCTCAAGAAACATTTGACAAACAACTTTGCTTCCTGAAGAACTTAGAAGACCAGGTGTGGAGGTTCAACTTTAGTAGGCTATCGGGCAGTGGTGGCGAACCTATGGTAGGCATGCCACAGCAGGCTGTTTATCATCTAAAGTTCTAAAGGTTCACCACCACTGCTACAGGGAGTAAAATTTTTAAAGAACTAAACTCAAATTTACTAGTTATTCTGAAGCTGATCTTGTTTGGTTTTTAACAGAAAAGGAAAGAAATCAAAACCATGCTATTACAAAACTCACACTTGGACAGAGTGCACCCACTGATATGTAAATTTACTCTTTGCTAAAGATTAGTTTTTTAAAAGAACAAGAAAGACAACTTTTTTCTAGCCCTCTAGTAATAATTCATGGAGGATCTATATTTCTTCCTGTTCTAAAGGTCCTTTTCTTCTACTCTGAAAATAGCTGTTAAATATTTTAACCAGTGATTTTCAAATAGAAGGGTTAAGTTTATATCAAAATCACTTACGGCTATTCCGAACTCTGATGAGAGTCTGTTACAGAAGACAATTGTTGGCCGGGGATTTAGCTCAGTGGTTTCGCCACCTGCTGAGCAAGAGCAAGGACCCGGGTTCGATCCCCGGTACCAAAGAAAAAAAAAACAAAAAAGAAGACAATTGCGCTGGGGGTGGTGTGTAAGCACCACTATTCCAGACCTTTATTTCAGCTATTCAAGACGACATACATTCAACAAAGCTGTACTAAGTCCCTGGCTCTGTGTTAGACACGGGGGACACAAGGCAAAGATGTCCAACCTCCTGAAGGAGCTCAGAGTTCAAATGAAGAGCCAGTATGCAAACAACTAACTCCCACAAAGCAAGTTGCTAACCTGCTTTCTAACCTAGAGGCCTGTGCTGAGAAGTCTTACTAGGCTCCAAGTCCTCCACCAGAAGAAATGTTGTGACTGTAGCAAGGTCAACCACAGGCAAAGGAATAGAAGAGGAGGCCCATGTACTATGTGTACTTGTACACCACCGACTGAGTCCAAGACGACGTGACAAATGCTATGAAACAAGTGTAAACAATGCTATGGTCTGAATGTTTATGCGCCAAATTCCTATGTTGAAATCCAAACCCCCAAGGTGACAGTATTAGGAGACAGGACTTTGGGGAGGTGACTTAGATTGTGAAGGCAGAGCAGGGATGGGATGACTGCTCTTACAAAAGACCCCAGACTAATCTCTCCTTTCTACCTTGGGAGGTT